GGCACCATATTTGGAAGTTATTAAGATCTGTTCGTAAATTTGACTGGCAAGCGCCTTATACTACTGCCATAGGAGTGATCGGAAAATTTTTCCAAAAAAAAAAAGATAACATTTTCAGTTTTCAACAGAATCTGAGATATAGCCAATTTATATAATTCTAAAAATTTGTGTACAATTTTATAAAATTCGAACTACTATATCATATAGCTCCCATAGGAACGATCAAGAAATTAATACAATTAAAAATTTACTTTTTCAGTTTTCAACAAATTTTTATTAAATTGGGGATATAGCCATTTTATATAATTCTACAATTTCGTGTACAACCATTTTGAAAATCGGACGACTATAACATACAGGTGCCATACAAACGATAGTTAGATATAGAAGAAAAATACAAAACTGTGATTGTAAAACTGTAAATATAAGATGTATAGGTAAATGAAATTAATGTAGGTATTATTGCATTGTTTTGTAACATACATATATACATATATATAATTTATATTGTATTGATTCCTAGTGATCGAAGTTCTATCTTCAAGGGTATATAACTGTGGCGTACCGAAGTTAGCTTCCTTTCGTGTTTTTAAATTATTTTATAAATATAATAATGTCTATTGTTTTTTATACACCGAAGTTTTAACAGGACAAAAACTTCTGACACACTTCATAGTTGGCTAAGGGGCTCATATAAAAACTATATATGGGCAATTCTCCAGAAAGGTCCACCGCCGCAAAAAACTGGTCATGATGATCAAGACTAAGAAAATTTTTCATTTTCTAAAATAAGTTAAAAAAAAATCGATGTCAAACACGCGCAAACGCAAATAATGTTGTTTTTATCAAAAAAAAGGCATATAAAATGGCATGTTTTGTTTTGATGCCAATCTCTTAAACCGAAGCATTTTGCTTTGCTTTTTGGCTTCTAATATGACATAAAAAACCCAAAGAGTCAATATGAAATGCAAAAGGACATATGCGATTACCAATTGTCGAACAGTTTTAATTTAAATTATCGCTTTCCAAAGTGTCGCGTGCGACCGGGAGTAAAATTGAATTTAAAAAATAACTACTTAATATTAAAAATCAAACAAAATACATTATTAAGAGAATTCATTACGTAATTCATTAAAATTTATTGTACTACAATTTTTCATCACGTTTGGCTGAAATCAGAGCGTAAACTGTTTTTTTGCAAATTTAACTTCTATTTTTGTCGCGTGCGAACGCAGTACATTTTAGTGAATATCTTGAAAACAAACAAGACCTTAGCACCAATTATAGTGCTAACCAAGACCTATACGATTCAATTTTAATAAAATTAAAATTAAGTCTTGGGACATGTGTTTTTTTAGTTTGAATACGTACGAATGTCGCATTCGACACCAGAGAATTGCCCATATATATAGTTATAATTAAAAAATTTTTTCGTTTAATAACATGTAAATAATAACTCGCGAGAAATCTTGACAACTGACTTTGAAAACATAGTTTTGAGAAAAACGCTTTCAAAGTTTTAAAAGACAATAAAAGAGGAACACAAATATTTTTTTAATTATATTAAATCGTCGATTCCTGGGCCTTTAAGTAGAGAACCTGCAGCAGCTGCAATGTCCAAGGCATCTTTTGGCTCCAGTCTTTAAAGAATCCTGGCTTCACGAGTCTCGTTGGCTAACAATAGATGAGCTGCAGCTGCGTTATACCTACTGCGCGCTCAGCTTATACCTGACTTCGAACGTTAACCTTTTCAAATCTGAATTTCTGTAAATGTTAGACGGATCAACAGGAAAATGTAGGAAAATATTCTAGGGATGTTATAGAATGTAAAACCTTCTAGCAGTTGTGACATCAAAATAAGTTTAAAATTTATATTAAGAAACAGGAATAACTAGTTATGTTCATATACATATCACAGAAGAAATAGAAAATTTTTTAATTTTAATTTTTATATTTGCATTTTTACATATTTACGTATGTGAAATTAAGCTTAAACAAGAAAGGAAGCTAACTTCGTCGCACCGAAGTTTATATACATATGTACCTTTGCAGGTAGAACTTCGATCACTAAGAATTTATATAATATAAATTATGTATGTTATATGTTAAAAATTCAGTAATGCCTGCTTTCATTTCATTTAGTTTACATTATTTAACGATCGTTTGTATGGCAGCTATGTACATATGTATGTACATATGTGGATAAATGATAGTTGTCCGATTTTCATAATTTCGAGAATATAAAATGGCATAATATAAAAAATTGCCAATCGTTCCTATGAAAGCTACATTGTATGTACAATATGAAATATGTAGTCGTCTAATCCGGTCCGTTCCGACATATGTATGTACATACATATGTATGTATGTATACAGCAGTAAGAGTATGGAAAAGACTACCCTGCAGTACCAGTCATTAATAATTCATCATCAGTCATGGCGGTATTGTTAATGATTCATCGACAAATGACCATACAAACTGTTGATGAATTTAACATTAGCATGTCCTAGGCTGTCAACAACAATTCATCAATGATTCATCAACAATACATCGATGATTCATCGACAATTCATAAATAAATTCATCAACAATTCATCGATGAATCATAAACAATTCATCAACGGCATGGTACTGCCGACGACTGCCATCTAGACTACTATCGTAACTGCATCGTGGGCAGAGCGTCGAAGTAGAAGTCGCAGTCGGCAGAGCGTCGCCTCGGTAGAAGTCGCAGTCGGCGCGTTGATGACAGTCGATGACATTGGCCTATTGATGACATGCGGTACTGCAGGTTAACTGCAGTCTCATTCAGATACTCAGATATTGCCAGATCGACTCAGCGGCATATGCTGATCAAGAATACATACACTCACCAGAAAAAGTGTGCGTACAAACTTAACGCGCAACTTTGATTTTAAATAAAAATAGTTCTATGGAAGATATTGACTTCAATTTTTTTTTTAAATTAACGACACATCTATTATTAAAAATTATAGCTAGTCTTTATTTATTTCCGTCCACAACTTTTTTATTTAAAATTAAAAAACAAAAAATACCCATGTTTTCGGGCAAGAAAAAGTGTGCGTACAAAATTCAATTAAGATAAAAAAAAACCATTTATTGTTAAGGCATTGATAAAATTAGTAAGAAGGAGGATACCCATTTCTATCTATTGTCCCATTTAAGCGTTTTGGAATTGAATTACCCAATTTTTCGGTAAATTCAGGTGGTATTTTACTCCACTCATCCAAAACCACATCCTTCAACGTATCCTTCGATGTAATTGTTCTAAGACGAATCCTGCGCTCCAGAAAAACCCACAGATCCTCTATGGGGCTTAAGTCCTGCGACTGAGGCGATGAATGCAGTTGATTTTTGGTATAAAAAAGCAACCATAACTTCAAACTAAGCGAAGTATGCTTGGGGTCATTATCCTGTTGCAACCAAAAATCATGGGCTGTGGGCGTAATCCTATGTTAACGGCCTCAAAAATTGGCCAGGATATAAAGGAAAAGTAGAAGAAGGATTTAAATGATGACACAGTACGCAAAATTTTGATAAGGAGGAATTTCATGCCTGTGCTGCGCCGAAGAAGCCTCTCATATTGCCCGTCAATAAATAGGAGTGCGTGGATTTCGCTAAAAAATTCATCCAAGAGCCTTTAGCCTTTGGGAAAATGATTATTTTTAGTGATGAGAGCCAATTTTGCCTATCTGGCATAAAAGGGCGAAAACTTGTGTGGCGCAAACCTGGCACAGCCCTTGATTTGCAGAAGCTCGCTCCAACAGTTAAGCACGGTGGTGGCAGTGTGGTGGTGTGGGGGTGTATGGCAGCGAGTAGAGTTGGCCACTTGGTCTTTATTGACTCCACAATGGACCACAAGGCTTATATGAAAGTCCTTAAGGACACGTTGCACCAAAGTGCATCAAGATTGGGTCTGGCAGATGATTTTTGGTTGCAACAGGATAATGACCCCAAGCATACTTCGCTTAGTTTGAAGTTATGGTTGCTTTTTTATACCAAAAATCAACTGCATTCATCGCCTCAGTCGCAGGACTTAAGCCCCATAGAGGATCTGTGGGTTTTTCTGGAGCGCAGGATTCGTCTTAGAACAATTACATCGAAGGATACGTTGAAGGATGTGGTTTTGGATGAGTGGAGTAAAATACCACCTGAATTTATCGAAAAATTGGGTAATTCAATTCCAAAACGCTTAAATGGGACAATAGATAGAAATGGGTATCCTCCTTCTTACTAATTTTATCAATGCCTTAACAATAAATGTTTTTTTTATCTTAATTGAATTTTGTACGCACACTTTTTCTTGCCCGAAAACATGGGTATTTTTTGTTTTTTAATTTTAAATAAAAAAGTTGTGGACGGAAATAAATAAAGACTAGCTATAATTTTTAATAATAGATGTGTCGTTAATTTAAAAAAAAAATTGAAGTCAATATCTTCCATAGAACTATTTTTATTTAAAATCAAAGTTGCGCGTTAAGTTTGTACGCACACTTTTTCTGGTGAGTGTACATATGTATGTATTTATGACTGAAATGATAATACCCTGCAAGGGCATAAAAAGGTCTACATATTTACATACATATATGTACATATATGTAAGCCAGAGTTTTTTGTTTTGTATACATATATGTATATGTATCTACATACATGCTTACATATGGACATATGTATGTACATAAATTGTATTAAAAATGGTCTACACTACAACTGATCATTTTAAACAATAAAATGCGATGTGTGCAAAATACAAATTAATATGCATTACGCAGAAGTTTTTTTTAAATAATGCACCATATCTGCGTGAGAAAATTTGTAAATAAATGAACATAAACATATGTATGTAGGTATGTAAGTACATTCTTAAGTACATATGTATGTAGATATGTATGAATGGACGTTAGTGCCAGACATACTTTTGTTTACTTTTATGTATTGATGAACAATGCATACGATAAGTAACAGATTTTTTACATACCCATTATTACAATGAACCGAAATCTTTGATATAAAAGATGTCAAAAGTCTACAGAGGCGTCCACCGATTATTTTTATTGTTATCACCAGATGACGTTCACAATTGAACTGGTTCTAGAATTTACAATCTAAGATCTGAATAAAAACATCAATATTTATTCGATAAGTGTATATAATTTATTCACCCCTTGTAATATTTTCACTAAACGGTGATCGGCGATATATTCATCCGGAATCACCGTCCCTGGCTAATTTCTTAACTAAGCCCCAGATATTCTTTTTTTTTACCATATACATATGCTTTGATTATTTTTAAATACTGGATCATTTTCTCAGCAGACAAAAAAGATTATTTATAAGAACTCATTAGCCATTCTTGCGACCTCTGGATCGCTGGGAAACTGAAAATATTGAATAAGCTATTTACATATTTGGGAACAGGTGAAAGCTTTTCAGCTGCGGTACATGAGTAATCAATGCCAAACTACTGATGAAATTAAAATTTGCAGTTCTAGGTTGTCATTAGTGACAAATTTATGATGATTCAACATATTAGACAAACACTTTATCGACACATTTAGCCGAAAAAAACTTGTTTGCTTAAATTGTGGGTACTCAATTTTTGGAGTTATTATATAAATGGCTTAATAAACTAAAAAGCGAACAATGAAAAAGGAACCATATGTGAAAACACAGAAAACTAGTTTCCGAACCTGAAAATGGAACCAACATAAAAAATACCAACTTAACAATAATATAAATTTACGGAATGAAGAATTTAATAAAGTCACAGCCCAATTACAAGAAAATGATAAATACTTGTACAGACCAATATAACGTGTACGTCAAATTAGCGTAAGTGAGTTGCCGTATGAATTAAACGGTGGGAAATGGAATTTGGGCGGATTTGTAATTTTTAATATATTTCGTAAATAAAAAACTAAACCTAAAAATAAAGTTTATTCAAGCTTTAAAAAAGACATTAAAAATTGTTTTTTCACCCTTTTCTTAATATCTCGGCTTAGAGAACATGTGCCACCATAACTTGATATGACTCTGCAAATCTTCATGAGCAAATCACATAAAATTGTACATCCAAAAATTCCTTAAAGGAATTTCCTTTGACTGTTAACGAACATGTCCATTAACACATGCGTGGTATCGCAAACATAAAAAACATATTTTTTAATTTTCAAATAAATTTTTATGCAGTATTACTCATTTATAATCGCTGAATTCAAATCGATTGGAGCACCTCGACGCCCTATCAATAAATACCCCGCCAGAAAAAAAACAACTTAAATAATTGCTTAAACTCCTATATATGAAATTGACCATCTGAGAAATGTGGTAGGAGTCGGAATGGCCCGATATACTTACTGCTGCATCGGTTTCAGAGTTGTTGCTCTGAGAAATTTGGTAGGAGTTTCATTGAAATCCGTCGTGTATGAGAAATGGGCTATTTTGATGCATTTCTTGTCGGAATGGCCCGATATACTTACTGCTGCATCACACTATGGGCCAGGCGCCCCGGATTTTGTCCAAAAGGGTCAAAGAGGATAGATTAAGCTATCTTTCCTCAAAATTTTATTACTTTCTATTCAATGGGTATGAAATGGCAGCTAATCAAAGTGGATATTTGCGTTTAATTTTTTCATTTTATTCGCAAGAAAAATAAATTCCTGCCCCTATGCGGGCAGCTATAGTCACATCGAAATACTTTTAATGTAACTAGTAGAACCCAAAATTAAAAAAAAATGTTTTTTATATATTACTTTATTTTACAAAGAAATTTAAAAAGAACACAGTTTTTAACCCATTTTTCACAAGTTGTGATTTCAATCTTAGGGTACCTCGACGTACCACCTCCGATCAAATTGAAAAAAAAATTTTAAATATAAATTTAAATATTTCGCTTTTTCGTATAAGCTGTCCCAAATGGGCACTCTGAGGCTTTTTATACCAAAATCAAATTTTTAAACTTATATTATAAAAAAAGTCTTTATAATACTGCCTAAAGGCAGGCAAGAAATAATATATTGCAAGCATTGACAAGCAAAAGTACAATTTAAAAATTTGTGGCATACTTTTAGTGCCACATTATACAAGCATCTTAAAAATAATTTTTTGGTGAAAACTTTAAAAAATTATTGGTTTAAAAACTACTTTTTATTGTTTTTGTTGTAATAGAAACCATATTGGAAGGATCGATTGCGGTCGATTGCTTTAAAGCTGTTCATGTAATTGAGACTAGAAATTTGAAATTAAAGGGCTTAAAACTAAAAAAAAAACGACTGCATTTAATGCAACAAACATATTTCTTTCCAATAAATATTATCTAAATACTCATTTCTGTAAAGTGAGATTCAAATTTTAATGAAAAACAAAAAAAAAGGAAATATTTTTCAACTTTGGTAGGGATTATCTTCCTTAAAAAACAATATTTTCTATTACTAATTTACTATCTAATTTACTAACACATAAAATTCAATGTTTTGAGTATGTGCATGCAAAATTTCACTTTTCTTACAAATTTATTTTAGAAGTTACAGAGTTTTGGCCAAAATATGAACTTTCTGGCCCATAGTGCATCGGTTTCAGAGTTGTTGCTGCAAGCGATCTGCATAAAGCGAACAATCACACAAACTCATACTTTCGGGCGCTTAGATAAAACCTTATATTCTTTTTTGGCTCTGTTTCTGTTTTGATCGGTTCCATCGCCACAAAATTTTATTGTAAGTTATGTATAATTTCACATAATATGTCCATCTGTTGTGTCACGATTGTCCACATGACCGCAAAATTACTTTGCGGCATGCCACTGTTTATTGTTGGCTGTGCACCAACACAGCCCACCCTGGGTGCGCAAATCTTGGGCATATTCGCCAGCGTATCGCTAACCGCATACGGGATCAGGCTGGATTGGACTGGCAGTGCCCGAGCTGCCTACACATTAAATCTGATGTGCGGATTTTTATGAGGCAAACTCATCTGGAGTTTCAATCTTTGGCGGCCGGTTTCAAGGATTTAGCAAGCCGTTTCCAGAAAACGGGTCTTACTTCTAAACTATAAAACTGATAGGTTACACATCAAATAGCAATATGGGAACTCTTTCTAATAATTTCTTGCATGCAGACCCTGCGAAACCCATTATGCAGTTCAGTCCACGCAACATACCCAATGGTGATTCCTCGGCTGTTACCGATGACTCAGCAGCCGATGACGCTGTGTCTGGTCTAGTCTGTAACGTGGCCTCTTGCCACGGACTAACCGATGTTGTCACATCTCCGACCTTAAAGCTAGTCAACGTAGATCAGCCATCTAGGTCGCATTTTGCTGCCGCAAACAAAGCGCTGCTGGCCTTAAATCTCCAAATGGATGTTCACACTGTGATCGGCCAGGCGGCCGCTCCTTCAATTTCTAGCCCAAAACCACAACGTTCAACGACTTCTGGAGTTGCCTAAAAGAGTCCGGCTCCTCTCACTGGCGTTGCCCCAAAAAAGCTCGTTTTTGTCCCTCGCCTCAATCATGATGTATCCTAAAAAGACAACAAACAACAAAAACAAGACAACAAAGAGAAACAAATTGAACGTTTCTTGTACTGAATTTTCGTTTCAAAATTAAATTTTAAGCAGAAACGAAAAATTTCTTCATTTAAAATTGGGTTATTTGCTAGGGTTCTTGATACTACCGTATGGCCATGCGATTGTTCACGAATTTTTAAACAAAAGCAATTCTCGGGCTGGAGTTTCTCGGACTCCCTCAACTAGGCCTTAAAATACGAATCAACTCGTTTTCTTTCCACTATCAGAATGCTCGTAGTCTGTTGGGGAAACTTAGCAAGCTGCAAGCTAATAGTGTCTCCTTTGCTGCCAACGTTATTGCTTTTACTGAAATGTGCCTTAACTTCAATGTTTCCGATTGCGAATTATTCGTCGGAAACTATGTTGTCTATAGGCGTTACCGGCGTTCTTATAGCTGTGAAATCGGATTTTTTTTCTAAGTGGTTCCCATAACCTACTCAGATAATACAGGGTGCGGCAAGAAAACTTGCTGATTTTAGAAAGTTATCCAAAAAAAGTAGTTGACATACCATTCCAAAATTTTTTGTTCTTGTAACACACATGCTGAAGTTTTGAAGATTACATCGGACAAGTGATGGCCGCCGTTTTCAATGCACTGAGATACCCGATTTTCGAAGCTCAGCTGAACTCTCTCAAGCATATCGACGGGTATCTTTGCGATTGCTTGCGATTGCTTGCCGCGACCTACAGGATGACTGTTGAGTTGAGTGGCAATTACGGAACGACCGTTGGAAAAGTAAGCCTCGTAGGCAAATGCGCTCTGCTCTTTCGTCCAATGCATGATGTCGACTGACTGCGGAGTAGACGAAACTTCAGGAAGTCCCCTAAAACATGAGACACTCCCCACCCTTACCCGATCACTCCCCGCCCCTTGGCGGCAAAAACAAATCAGCAAGTTTTCGTGCCGCATTCTGTACTTTGACTATTTTGTCTTTGTCTTTAGCACATATATCCCTTCATATCTTGGATGCCTTCACCTGATTCTAATTTTCTGAACCTCATGACTTTGTTAATGGCCTTATTGACCTTTCTTTGGGCCAATTGAATTACGTAGAGAACAGTGGGGATAAAATCTTGAACTTTTTTTGCGTCTGAGTCTTTGTCTAAAGAACTGGCCCTATCTATTGTCCCGAAGATGCTTATCACCCCACACTAAAGATAATTCTTGAAGGGTCGTCTCCTAGTCCAAAAGTTGAACCAACAACTTTTCGCTGTTTCCGCAAAGCTAATTTCAATGACATTAACTTCTATTTATCTCCAGCTGATTGGACTTTTTAGATTTTATAGACGACCCTATTTATATGGTAAGGCGCTTTTATGACACTTTATACTCAGCTTTTTGACATAAATGTCCCATCCTTTCCCTCACCTGACGCTTCACAAGTGGTCATGGCACGTCAGATAACCAATCTGCCATGCTAAAAGCCCTTATAGCTGTTCCACCTACGATACACATCACCCTTATCCAAGTAAAACCAAATATGATAAAATCAAAATAAAGGTGAACAAATTCAAATTCTCATATGCTAGGGACATTTCATCTTTTCAAAA